TTGGTAGATGGATCTATAATTTCCTCACAAACAGAACACAAAGAGTAGTAGTCAACAGAGTAAAGTCCGAGGCAGCTACGGCGAAAAGCTGTTCCACAAGGCACAGTACTCTCTCCCATCTTGTTTCTCATCCTCATATCTGACATAGACAAGGATGTCAGCCACAGCACAGTGTCTTCCTTTGCAGATGACACCCGAATCTGCATGACAGTGTCTTCCATTGCAGACACTGCAAGCCTCCAGGCAGACATCAACCAAATCTTTCAATGGGCTGCAGAAAACAATATGAAGTTCAACGATGAGAAATTTCAATTACTCCGATGTGGTAAACATGAGGAAATTAAAACTTCATCAGAGTACAAAACAAATTCTGGCCACAAAATAGAGCGAAAAACCAAAGTCAAAGACCTGGGAGTGATCATGTCAGACGATTTCACCTTAAAGGACCGTAACATTGAATCAATTGCAACTGCTAGAAAAATGACAGGATGGATAATGACAACTCTTCAGGTAGCTTGTTCTATCTAGGCTGGAATACTGCTGCACACTAACAGCTCCTTTCAAGGCAGGTGAAATTGCTGACCTAGAAAATGTACAGAGAACCTTCACGGCCCGCATAATGGAGATAAAACACCTCAATTACTGGGAGTGCTTGAAGTTCCTGAATCTGTACTCCCTGGAACGCAGGCGGGAGAGATACATGATTATACACACCTGGAAAATTCTAGAGGGACTAGTACCGAACTTGCACACGAAAATCACTCACAAGGAAAGGAAAAGACTCGGCAGACGATGCAACATCCACCAAATGAAAAGCAGGGGTGCCATTACCATGTTAAGAGACAATACGATAAGTGTCAGGGGCCCGAGACTGTTCAACTACCTCCCAGCATACATAAGGGGGATTACCAATAGACCCCAGGCAGTCTTCAAGCTGGCACTGGACAAGCACCTAAAGTCGGTACCTGACCAGTCGGGCTGTGGCTCGTACGTTGGATTGCGTGCAGCCAGCAGTAACAGCCTGGTTGATCAGGCTCTGATTGACCAGGAGGCCTGGTCACAGACCAGGCAGCGGGGGTGTTGACCCCCGGAACTCTCTCCAGGTAAACTCCAGATAAAGAAGCTGATCACTCTGTAAGTGTTTATTGTGTTTTGTGAGACACTTTATTTCACATTAACACGTGGATCAGTGTTCTTTGTTGGTTATCCTGGCGTCATTGTGAGTTCCAGCAAAGTCAAAAGTAATCTGCCATCACAGCATCTTGCCGCACCTCGCTTGTCCCCAGCATAAAGGAAAAGGTGACCTAGTACATTTCACTTCTTTGCCAAACTTTCACCAGGAAGCAAAGCAGAATGCTTGATTCTTACCGTCTTAAGCATAGACGACAATGTACACTATCTTAATAGGAGCAAGATTTTCCTTAATTGTCCTGCTAAGGTAAGAGATGAACTGTCTCAGTTCTCCACAGTATGTGGAGAAAATTTCTCCACATACTGTGACAGTAGTGTAAATGTACAGTAACAGCAGTGTAAATGTACTGTGACAGTAGTGTAAATATACTGTGACAGTAGTGTAAATGTACTGTGACAGTAGTGTAAATGTATTGTGACAGTAGTGTAAATATACTGTGACAGTAGTGTAAATATACTGTGACAGTAGTGTAAATGTACTGTGAGAATAGTGTAAATGTACTGTGACCATAGTATAAGTGTACTGTGAGAGTAGTGTAAATATACTGTGACAGTAGTGTAAATGTACTGTGACTAGTGTAAATGTACTGTGACTAGTATAAATCTACTGTGACAGTAGTGTAATTGTACTGTGACAGTAGTGTAAATGTACTGTGACCATAATGTAAATGTACTGTGACCATAGTGTCAATGTACTGTAACAGTAGTGTAAATGTACTGTGACAGTAGTGTAAATGTACTGTGACCATAATATAAATGTACTGTGACCATAATGTAAATGTACTGTGACCATAGTGTCAGTGTACTGTGACAGTAGTGTAAATGTACTGTGACAGTAGTGTAAATGTACGTAACATAGTGTAAAGTACTGTGACAGTACGTAAATGTATGTTACAGTAGTGTAAATGTACTGTTACAGTAGTGTAAATGTACTGTAACAGTAGTGTAAATGTACTGTAACAGTAGTGTAAATGTACTGTGACAGTAGTGTAAATGTACTGTAACAGTAGTGTAAATGTACTGCAACAGTATGTAATGTACTGTAAAAGTAGTGTAAATGTACTGTAACAGTATGTAAAGTCCGAAACAGAAGTTTAATGTCCCGTAACAGTAGTGTAAATGTCCTATAACAGTAGTGTAAATGTACCGTAACAGTAGTGTAAATGTACCGTAACAGTAGTGTAAATGTACCGTAACAGTAGTGTAAATGTACCGTAACAGTAGTGTAAATGAATGTAACAGTAGTGTAAATGTACCGTAACAGTAGTTTTAATGTACGTAACAGTATGTAAATGTACCGTAACAGTAGTGTAAATGTACCGTAACAGTAGTGTAAATGTACCGTAACAGTAGTGTAAATGTACTGTATCAGTAGTGTAAATGTACCGTAACAGTAGTGTAAATGTACTGTAACAGTATTTGTAAATTTTACCGTAACAGTAGTGTAAATGTCCCGAAACAGTAGTGTAAATGTACTGTAACAGTAGTGTAAATGTACTGTAACAGTAGTGTAAATGTACCGTAACAGTATTTGTAAATGTACCGTAACAGTAGGTAAATGTACTGTAACAGTAGTGTAAAATGTACCGTAACAGTAGTGTAAATGTACTGTAACAGTAGTGTAAATGCACCGTAACAGTAGTGTAAATGTACCGTAACAGTAGTGTAAATGTACTGTAACAGTAGTGTAAATGTACTGAAATCAGTAGTGTAAATGTACCGTAACAGTAGTGAAAAAGAAACCGTAACAGTAGTGTAAATGTACCGTAACAGTAGTGTAAATGTACCGTAACAGTAGTGTAAATGTACCGTAACAGTAGTGTAAATGTACCGTAACAGTAGTGTAAATGTACCGTAACAGTAGTGTAAATGTACCGTAACAGTAGTGTAAATGTACCGTAACAGTAGTGTAAATGTACCGTAACAGTAGTGTAAATGTACCGAAAACAGAAAGTGTAAATGTACCGTAACAGTAGTGTAAATGTACCGAAACAGTAGTGTAAATGTACCGTAACAGTAGTGTAAATGTACCGAAACCCAGTAGTGTAAATGTACCGTAACAGTAGTGTAATGAAACCGAACAGTTTGAAAAAATGTACCGTAACAGTAGTGAAAAATGTACCGTAAACATAGTGTAAATGTACCGTAAACAGTAGTGTAAATGTACCGTAACAGTAGTGTAAATGTACCGTAACAGTAGTGAAAATTTTACCGTAACAGTAGTGTAAATGTACCGTAACAGTAGTGTAAATGTACCGTAACAGTAGTGTAAATGTACCGTAACAGTAGTGTAAATGTACCGTAACAGTAGTGTAAATGTACCGTAACAGTAGTGTAAATGCACCGTAACAGTAGTGTAAATGCACCGTAACAGTAGTGTAAATGACCGAAAACAGTAGTGTAAATGGCACCGTAACAGTAGTGTAAATGCACCGTAACAGTAGTGTAAATGTACTGTAACAGTAGTGTAAATGCACCGTAACAGTAGTGTAAATGCACCGTAACAGTAGTGTAAATGCACCGTAACAGTAGTGTAAATGTACCGTAACAGTAGTGTAAATATCCTGTAACAGTAGTGTAAATGTACCGTAACAGTAGTGTAAATGTACCGTAACAGTAGTGTAAATGTACCGTAACAGTATTTGTAAATGTCCCGTAACAGTAGTGTAAATGCACCGTAACAGTAGTGTAAATGCACCGTAACAGTAGTGTAAATGCACCGTAACAGTAGTGTAAATGTACCGTAACAGTAGTGTAAATGTACCGTAACAGTATTGTAAATGCACCGTAACAGTAGTGTAAATGTACCGTAACAGTAGTGTAAATGTACCGTAACAGTAGTGTAAATGCACCGTAACAGTAGTGTAAATATAACTAGCAAGAAGCTCCTGTTTTCTTCCATGTTAATAATTTCATAACTATAATTATTGTTATTTATAACTTCCACTATTAATATTACTTAGATTATTACAATATTATTTTTGGTGTTTTTGTTAAATTCTTTTCCATTATCAATACTTTACATATTTACTATTATATCATATAATTATATTTATTATTAGCACTTATTTATATTTATTATTTTTGTAATTATTAGTTTTTTGTTAATTTATTATTATTAATGATAATTATCATTTTTTTTACATTATTATTTTATTACTATTATTATGTTTTCATTATTTGCAATATAGTAGTAATATTCTTTTATTATTATTACCATTCCACATTAATTTTTATATTGCTATTGAAGTTTTTTTCATTAGTTTTTTAGTAGTAAATGTTTTTGTTATTGTTGCATTACTTTTAAAATATTATTATTATTATTATTATATTATTTTATTTTATTATTATTATTTTTAAATTATTATTAATTATTATTTTATTATATTATTATTATCATTATTATTATATAATTATTATTATATTTTATTATTATTATATTATTATTTATTATATTATATATTACTACTATTATTATTATTATTATTATTATTATTATATTATTTTTATTATTATTATTATTATTATTATTATTTATTATTATTATTTTTATATTTTACTATTATTAATTATTATTATTATTAATATTATTATTATTTTTTTATTATTATATTTTATTATATTATTATTATTATTATTATTATTATTATTATTATTATTATCATATTATTATATTATTATTATTATTATTATATTATTATATTATTATTTTTATTATTACTATTATTATTATTATTATTATTATTATTATTTTTTATTATTATTATTTTATTAACAAGTAAATGGTTGATTCCGTCATTATGTAACAGGAACCGGTGTGTTGTTCAACTTGTCTGGGGCGCTGAAAGACCCGAAACACTGGAAATTTCCCAGCACCTTCTACCCAGAACACTTCTTGACTCCTGAGGGAAAAGTAATCAAGCCAGACCAGTTCATGCCTTTTGGTTATGGTGAGAAATTCTTAGTTTCATACCTTTTATAATATAATAGTTTCTGGTGTCCTTTTAAGGAGACGAGTGAACACGAAGCTTCAGATGTGAGTACGAACACATTTAATGATGTAATATTTTATGGGGACAGAAGATAATTTATTGGAATTTAATGTTATGACTACGCCTTCAAGTGAACCATTTCTCATAATAATATAATCAATGTTGGGAGAAATATCACTAACAAATCTAAAAAAAAAAAAAATTCCTTTCACGTAAATTCAACAATGAAAATACTTAAAGGGAAAAGTGCAAGATCATGAATATTTAAGCCAAGATATTTGCTATGTGCATATATTATATATATATATATATATAATATATATATTTTATATATATATATATATATATATATAATATTTATTTTATATTTTTTTTTTATTATTATCACACCGGCCGATTCCCACCAAGGCAGGGTGGCCCGAAAAAGAAAAACTTTCACCATCATTCACTCCATCACTGTCTTGCCAAAAGGGTGCTTTACACTACATTTTTTAAACTGCAACATTAACACCCCTCCTTCAGAGTGCAGGCACTGTACTTTCCCATCTCCAGGACTCAAGTCCGGCCTGCCGGTTTCCCTGAATCCCTTCAAAAAATGTTATTTTGCTCACACTCCAACAGCACGTCAAGTATTAAAAACCATTTGTCTCCATTCACCCTATCATATATATATATATATATATATATATATATATATATATATATATATATATATATATATATTAATATATATATACACACAATACAATCACAGACAGGCGATGTTAACAATGCAAGACAAGCCACGTAAGATACTAGAATTCGTCAGCTCGGTTACTTTCATACGTCTCCATACATCATCTGAAGCTATGAAGTGTTGCAAGAGTAGCAACAGTAGGAATGAATGAAAGTTTTCTCAGAGGAAGGCAGCCTGGTGACGTCATATCTGGGGATTAAAGCCGTGTTATTTTAATTCACCTCGTAGGAAGCCTGCCAAATTCCATGACACTCTAAACACTAAGCTACCAATGATACAAGTATCATTTGCCAGGGGTTTTAGAACATCGTGGAATTTAGCGGGCTTTCTACGAAGCGGGCTAAAATAACACGGGTTCGATCCCAGGCTAGTCGCAGTATTGTCCACCTTTAATGCAAATTGGGGACCCATAGCCTCGGAGAATGGATAAAAAAAAGACTTAAAAAAATATTTCGGACAATTACGCATTATTTAGTATAAAAGTGTTTTTGGTTATTTTCCTTTCCAACACTTAGAATTTTGCATTTGCTATATTAAATTGCATCTGCTACTGCTGCTCCATTTATTCAGATCTTCCTGGAGCTCTCTAGTGTCTTCGCCAAAATGAATTCGAAGGCCATTTTTTGGGGTCACTGGCAAACTTGCTTATGTCACTATTTATACCCTCTTTTACGTCATGTATGTTTAAAATTTCCCCCCTCTGATTTCTCCCAGTTTACGTAAACACTCTGTTGCCTATCTGTGAGCCACACCTCTATCCAGAAAAACATTTCTCCTATTCCGTTTTGGCCTCGACTTTCCTCAGTAGTCTCCGATATGGAACTCTATCAAAAGCCTTACTAAAGTCCATTTTTAAAAAATATCATATTCATTATCATTATCTATTTCCCCCTTACCGCTTAGTGAAAAAGTTAGTAAATTCATAAGGCAGGAAGACCCTCTGTAAAACTGTGATGAGATTCATTTATCAATTTTATCTTTCAAGGTGGCTTCGAATAGCCTCAGCAATTATAGATTCGATCAACTTTCCCACTATGGAGGTTAGGCTTATTGGTCTGTAGTTCGAAGTGAAGGACCTGTCTGGTACTATATCAGTTTGTAAAGATATGTTGAAAAGTCTAGCCAAAGGTTCAGTAAGTTCCTTCTTTCATTACTTTAAAACCCTTGCAAACAGTTTTATCAAAGGGCCCAGGGATTTGTTAGGTTTTAATTTATCCATTTGTATGAGAACAATGTCACTAGTGACTGGGTTCGTGCATAACTTTTCGTACTGTTCAACATAGTTTATTATTTCTGGAATTTCACTAATATCTTCCTCCATAAAAACTGAGAGGAAATAAGTGTTAAAAATTCTACACATTTCCTTATCACTGTCGGTGATAAAGAAATGTGACTGTGGAACTGGCCTATCTTGTCCCTAATCTTAATTCAGTATACCTGAAAGAAATCTTTTGGGTTAATCTTCGAATAATTTGTGACATTAACCTCATAATATCTTTTTGTTTTTCTTATTCCCTTTTGTGTTTCTCTCTCTAATTGAATATATTGATTTCCTACATGCCTCACTACTGTTTTGATTCGCCTGTAAATGTCTCTCTTTGGACCAAAGAGTTGTTTTAAACTACTGTTTATCCACTTTGGACCGTTTCCATATTGTTTATCTATCTGGCTCTTTTTTTATTTTGAACATAAGTAGTCAGAGCAGCAAAAACTATGCTCCTAAAAACGTCATGTTGGCAACCATCCCCGCTTAGCTGACCCATAGTCAGGTCATTCCAGTTCAACCCACTCAGGCAATTTAGCAGTCCTATGAAATCGGTCAAGCAGAAGTCAGAGACAGAGACTTGATTATAGTTCCTAGGGTAATTCCATGATATATGGAAACTTAATTATTTGTGATTGCATTCCCCAAGCTCATCATTAACATAAAGATAATTAATTAATGATTCTTTGTTGGAAAAGACCAAAGTCAAGGAGGTTGTTTCCTCTAGTTGGTTCGGTCACAAAACTGTTTTAAAGAGCAGACTCAAGACTTCGTATCAGATTGCTCCAATAAATTTGTCTGAAGTTAAAATCTCCCATTAACACATTTTTTTTATTGATGTCTTATGAATTTTCGTCAAACAGAAACTGATAGCACTCGCTATCAAGGTTTGGGGGCCTACAAATCAAACCCAAAATTAGTTTTTTCACGACCTCAGTAAACTGTAACCAAGCAGATTCTGTGTCCGATGCTTGTAAAATTCTATCTTGTCTAACACAACAATTTAAATTATCTTTTGGGCATACATCACCACTCTACCACCTTCCTGTTGACCCTATGAGTGTGGAATAGTTGATAGCCTTGCATGTGGCATTTTGCTATCTGCACATACTGCTTGAATACATCATATTCATGCACTATAGGATTACATATGATGATGCACGTCTTAGGAAATATGCTAAAACCCGGGCAGACTCAAGCACTATGTGAGAAGGTACAATGCATCATAGGTGTCAACATTGCCCATTTTGTTGCTCATTCTCCTCAACTCATCCAGTTTCTTCCTAAAAATTGAGTCAATGGCATCAATTCCCCGAGGTGCCCAAGCAAGATGCTATTTGTAGGGGTAATGACTGATGGTATTGGTAGTCTTGTCTCACTGCGTCGATCACTTGTTGATTGACCCAGTGATTTCGTATTTGGAAGGGTTCAGGATGAGTCCCATTTCCAGTCCCTGTGTCATCACCTGTGTAAAAATCATCTAGAAGGGACTCCTATTACCCGCCAGTGTGCCATCACCTAGGAATCAATTGTTAGCTCATGGGCAGCCTGACAGTAATTTCCCTATCTCTATACAGAAAAAGTGGCACGTGGATCCCTTTGCTGGACATCCTCTGATGACGTGATTTCATGCTCTCCAAACAGAAGCCTTGATTCCTCTCTGTCTCCGGCTGAAACAAGAAGGAAGAACCCAGTGAAATGTTCTTGTACAGCTGTTTTATACCACATCTCCACCGCAGTCTTGTAATTTAATTTTACTATACTGCATTGTCCTCAGGAGACTAATGACATATGCCCTTGTTGCATGAACTGCTGCTTTATTTTCCTTGATGGACCCCAAAGCGAAGCTGGTTGGTTGAAGCATCAATAATAAATAAATAACAGTCCATTTCTACAAGTACATGTACAAGGTATACAGGCCTAGTTGACACCAATGACATACTACTATATAGAAAGCCCCTTGTTTATGCAGAGCATTTTTAGGGAAAATAGGTCAATTTTGTCCCAGGATGCGACCCACACCAGTTGACTTAAACCAGGTACCCATTTTACTGATAAGTGAACATTGGACAGCAGGTGTCTTAAGGAACACCTGATAATGTTTCAAACCATACTGGGGATCAACCATTGGACCTCAGCCTGTAAGCCGAGTGCACTAGCAGTCAGCTACTGGGGCAATGGGAGCTTCTGTTCGATACTTTGGACAGCAGCCTTGGGAAACGAGGCAGTGAAGAGTGTTGTCCATAGCAACTGGCCTAATTCCTCCATTCTTCTCTTCTAAGGGCACAAAGTGATGCCCCCCAAAAAAGAAAGGTCTAATTTTATCAGGAATCAGACGAGCTAATGAGTTGTTAACGATCCTTGGGATCACTGAAAGCAATGTCTCTGCAATCTCCCCGATAACTGAATTAACCATTTCTTTTAAATGCTGGGGACTTACTCCGGTGTAGCATAGCAAAGCCAGAAGGGAACAACATGATTACACGTTTGAGTCTTGCACAAGCAGTTTTTCCATTGAGGACAGGAGATTCATAACTGTTAGTGCTCCTGGTTTCCCTGGCAGGGTGTTTTTCTCTACATGCTTGATCAGTGTCAGCGTCTTCGGGGAAACTGTATCTTAACTGGTGATTATCCTAATTGCCCCAACTCTGTTGCCATCTTCAATTTTCTTACTCACCTGGACTCTGATTTTTTCACTCTCATTCACCCAGTTTTGTATTGGTGGGGAGAGCGAATGAGGTCTCAGCTCTGAAAAAGTCTCTTAAAAGTTTAATGATTGTTGAAGCTAGCCTTTTGCCCCTTATTACCAGCACAGCTAACAGACATCGCCCAAAACTAGTAAGTTGTAGAGCATTTAGGATAGTGGAACCATCGTTTACTTTTCTCAAGAGGTCTGTGAGTTTCCCAGCTGCGTGTGGATGAACTACTTTGGGATTATGTCATTTTTTTAATGACCGAGACTCAAAATCTGGTCAATCCATAAACCTGTGATAATATCCTAACAC